TCCAGCTGCTCCTGGAGGATCGCGCAGGCGCTGTATGCGTCCTGTACTTGCGTGGAAGCGCAGAACTCGTCAAAACCTGGTAAGAAATGCAGGCGGGCGGGGGGACCCTTCGGCGTTCCCGGAAGTTACTTACTTCCGGGTTCGCCGACCAACCGGTTCGCGGGGACCACCGCGAACCGCCTGAAACCCACCCCTGTTAGATACCCAGCTGACCTTAACTGATTCCATTGAAGCTATTTCAATGAGAAACCACCAGCAAACTTCACGACTGTAGACTATTCACAAAATATCCTAAAAGAAAGCGTGGACAAATCATGCGTGGCTTGTTGCCAAGATGACCACAGGGCTAGGAGCATGAAATTGACCTTGATGAAGGAATACAAGGATCATTAAGAGATTATAAATGACAATTCAATCCTGGGAGGGAGAAGACGACGTGAGAAGGAGACTCAAAGTAACCCTACCCTACTGTTTGGTATAAGAGCATGCAAGGAAACTGGCAGCCTTTCAAGATTCTGTTATTATAACCTATGATGATATAACCTAAAATAACATTTCACTAATCCTTGTGTTGTCTCTTTCGTGACATCCCCTAAATCAAAAATTTCATGAAAGAAACTTTTATCTTTAAGACAACATTCAAATATGTGAGATCAGTTGCCGTATTTTTCGGAGAATAAGCACCTTTTTCCCTCAAAAAAGAGGGTGAAAATCTGGGTGTGTCATACACTGAATACAGCATTTTTTTGCCTCCCAAAACCCCACCCCATTTGCAAAAATGGCCACGCAGAGCTTTTAGGAGGCTTCCAGAGTGCTCCTGGGGGCTGGGGAGGGCAAAAACGAGTGAAAAACAGGCCATTTTTTGCTCATTTCTGCCCCCCTCCCAGCCCTCAGAAGCACTCTATATGCCTCCTAAAGACTATACATACCCTTTTTTTGACAAAAAATGGGCCGTTTCTATCTCATTTTGCCCCCCCCCCCAGCCCCCAGGAGCACTCTACAAGCCTCCTAAAGGCCGTTTTTGGGAGGTCTGCAGAGTGCAAAAACTTTTTTTTTAATTTGCCTCTTCAAAATCTTGGTGCGTCTTATACTCCGAAAAATATGGTAATTCCATTTGACTCCCAGAGAATCGACCTGTCTTTCCCTTGATTTGTATTCTGACTTCATCTTTTCCCCCTTTGGCTACAGGATCCAGACTTCTCTCTGCTGACGCTGATGGGAACGTCAAATGTTGGAGCATGATGGACCACCTGGCCAACAGCTGGGAGAGCGAGGTGGGCAGTGAAGTGGAAGGAGATCCAGTAGTGGCCCTTTCCTGGCTGCACAATGGGGTGAAACTGGCTTTGCACGTGGAGAAGGTAATTAGGTGAATTAAGGGTTGCTTATTCTGCAGGTAGTTTTCATCTTATATCCATTCGTTCAGTGACAGTTCAAAGTTCTGGCT